TATAGCCATTGAAGACCAGGCAGAAATGTCTATTAAATATTCATGGCATCTGTGGATGAATTGTCTCAGGATATATGTAAAACCTAGGCATCAGTAGTGATTAATAATACTTAAAGCATTAAAATAATGCTTGTTTTTGTATGCCACCTATAATGAATTGAAGAGAAACTATCTTTGTAATGTATTATTCTGAGGCTCCATGAACACGTTTAGGATGGAAGAACCTCTGCCTACTTCAGGGAATTCATTAATATAAGGAGAAACTTGGTTGTGTATGTCTTATGCTGAAATTAAAAAATAGTCAATAACATTGGCATACTCCATATGATGAGCTTAATGTTGCTTGAGGTTAGAGGGGCAGCTCATGGGAGAGCAAGAATTTATGGGAGATATTTTTTCCATAGAATTTTGTTTTTGGAACATCCTTTTACTTGTGCCTCTCAGAAAGAACATGCTTGCCCTTCATTATTTCCTGCCTTATTGTAATTGTGAATACCATGTAGCAAACTCTTAGTTGCTCTGTGATAACTTAATATTGTGTTTTATAATGTTCCTAGTATTACTGATTTTATTAGAGCATATATGCTCATATTTCCATAGGCTGTGGAAGAACCTGTCTACTTAGCTGATGAACCTAGGGCAGCTAGTTACTTTTTAGGGCAGTACAGAATTAGTGTACTATCAAGGAATTAGTGTCTAGGTAAGACCTCATATTTATCACTAGTATTTTATAATTTTGACATGATAGCATTCTTTTACTTTTGGGATCAGATTGACCTACTTACCTTTTTCCCCTCTGCCCTGCCTCCTTTTCTTTCCTTTAGTTAATTCCCACCTATGGTTGTATCATACCTTTCTTAGAAGCTACAAAAAACTGGTTACCTAGAATGTGTACTTAAGTGTGTTTTTAATTCTTACAAATCAAAAATCACTATAGGCTTATAAGTGTGCACCATTATATGAAGTTATATAACATGTCCATTAAAAAATGATAGACTGTTTACTATAGGTTTACATTTTGATTTTAAAAAGTTATAGTAAACAAATGATCCAAAGAAAAAATCCTGTTCATAGTTTTAAAATCTTCATCTTTATAATGTTCTTTATGGACTTTATTTTTCCTGTGTAAATTTAAAGCTCAGTCTTTGGCACAATAAATCTTAACATGCATAAGGTTTATTTTAATAGCTGTATTAATAGCAATATAATTTTTTGTTCATATCTGTCTAATACTAAACATAATTTGCTTATTCATGGTAGGCTATAAATCTTTTACACAGCTGAAAATTTGTAGCTTCATTTATGAGATAGAAAACAAAAACTTTTGAGATGATTTTTAGACTCATTAATTCATTAGTGCCCAGGGATTTACAGAATGTATCCAATGAAACAGTGACTGGGAACATGGAATATGCAGTGTGATTAGTTCCCTTAACACTAACTAGAACTTTTATGCTTAGCTCCCCAGATACTAGAAACTTTTTTACCCTTTGTCATCCTAATGCTCATTAGAATAGCTCTCATTAATTGGTACATCTCCCAATGGGTTAATTTGCAGATACCAACCATGCCATCCTTTTGCTAACTCACTAATGCAAATTGATATTTATAGACTTCAAAATTGAAAACAAAAAAAGCTCTATAACAGAAAAAGACAAACTTTGCTAAGTTGTTGTTATTATTATTTTGAGCTGAGAGATTGAGATACCGAGAGATTCTGTGAGAGAAGAAAAGCAGCCTAAAAAATCCACAAAAACTGTAGGCTAATAAACTGATGTGAAAATTTCTCAATTTACAGCACTTGACAGGTGCTAAAAGAAAAGCATCTTTAATTTTAATGTGTTGTTAGGACCTCTTTAGAGAGACTGTACAAGTTATTAACAAGGTCCTCTGAGACAGGAGACGGGTAATTAACAAGACCTATGGAGATATAGTTTAGGTAATTAACGAGCTCTTAGGACTGGACACAGGATAACACAGTGAGTCCAATAGTTAAAGAACAGGTTGTTATATTATGATCAAATTCCACATATAATATGTAAGTCCTCTTGAGGTTTCTGATAGGAAAGTATTAAGATTATATTCCAGTGACCCAATGTACTAATTTTTATATATCAATATGTAAATTTTTTAGTTTAACTTTTAAGATAGGATTTGAGAGGGTTTTTTCTTTGCAAAGCCAATAAGCAGCTAAGCTTGTTATATGCAGATTAATAATCTTTGTTAATTGCAATTAGTGAACATATGTATTTTGAGAACAGCACTTTGGAAAGATGTAAATTAATACGATTCTAAGTTGTTTTAGACCTTTACTGTTGTGTTTTTCACCTGTGGCCTGTTGGCTAAAATTGCCTACTCTAAATTGACCTAACGTTGCCGGGCCCCTTTAAAACTTTCAGGCTTGAGGCCAGAGAGGAGACTGTCCTTCACCAGCTTATTTTCTACGTCATATGCATGGATACCTCCACTCGTGCTATGGAACCTTCGAGTCTGAGACTTGGTATTCCCAATTTCAAATATTTGGTTTAGTTATTTTCTGTGTAAATTTGAAATTGTTGGGCTATGAATCGAGTTTTGGCTCAGAAAACTCCCAGCATCAGCAAACCTTTATCATAGACAAGTTATACTCTGAAGATTAAAGAGTATAAAGGAAGCCCTTGCAGTTCTGATTCATTCCATTCCCTCCTCAGTTTGACTGCTCTAGTCCTTCAAAATGATTTTTTGTCTCAATTTCAGATCTGATAATCAAATGATACTTTCATTTCCATTAGTTTTAGAATATTTACTAGGAAATCAGAAGTTATTAAGACATAAATCCTGTTCCCAGAGCTCATATAGACAGGCATGTAAATATTACGTCTGGGTTGTATGCTGTGGACTGGCCATTGGAGAACCTTGGAAGAGTTTTAAGTTGGATTGTGATACTATCAAAAAAGTAACTTAGATAGCCCTGTAGCACGGAGAATCTGCTAGGGACAGGAGTGGGAAGGGGAGGAGAGGACTCGGGGCAGGAAAACTAGGAAGTTAGTGTGATTGTTGAGGTAAGAGTTGATGAAGGTCACTTGGCAGTGAGAATGGAAGAAAAGAGAGTATCTGTAAGATATTCCTGGGCTAAACTAGACAACACTGTAAAAACTACACAGATTGCCTCAGATTTAGGATTTTTCCTTTTTTATGATGTCAAAGTGATAGGCATTCACTAGAAACCATACTTGCAGATTTTGAATTTGGATCTTTTACTGTGCTTGTGATTGTGTGATGCTCTCATAACTCCAAGCAGCAGCACTGAGCCCCAGTGTCAGCCATGCAATCACGAGGACAAACAACCAATATACTAACAACCATTCTGCTTTTCACTTTTAGTATAGTATTCAATAAATTACATGATATTGAACACTTTATTGTAAAACTGGCTTTGTGTTAGATGATTTTGCTTATCTGTAGACTAATGTGTATTCTGAACGTGTTTAAGGTAGGCTACTGAGCTATGATGTTCGGCAGGTTAGATATATTAAATGTATTTTCACTTATGGTATTTTCAGTTTTCAGTAGGTTTTTTGGGATATAACCCCAGTAATCTCATCATAAGCTGAGGAAGCTCTGTATTACCACATCAGGTCTGTAGTGTTTGAATTGAAGTTGGTGTTTTAGTCTTGATGGAGAGATTTGAGTTCTTTGTTTTTGTATTTAATGAGTTGCTGTCTTTTTAGAGTTTTGTTTTAGAGAATAGTTATTATGTGTTTTGAGTTGCTTGAGACAAGCAAGTTAGTATCAGCACAATAACGGTTCTTGAGTGTTTCTGAACAGTGAAAGACGTTTTGGCTTCCCTGAAACAAGAATGCACATTTTTGAAACTGCTTATGGATTCAATGCACTTAAAGTGTGTTCACCTTAACACTGTAGTTACTACATGTATTTCTCCTCAGTGGTGTTGACTTTACAAAGCTTTGTCCCTTGTTGGACACTTTCTCTTAGTGTCTCATCAAGAGAATAGCTTTTCCTTCTTCTACACTCAGCTCTTACTTCTATGTACATCACTTTTTCAGGCCTCCTACTTCTGTGTTTAGTATATTTCCTTTTGGGCCACTCATATTTAGAACATTTCCTTTTTGACCACATCACCTGGGGTTACCTGTTTTCATAACATCTAAGCTTAAACTTTGGAAATACAGGTGTTGTTTCTACATTTTTAATAAAAGTGGGTAGTGTTACCTATGGGCAGCATGTTTTAAATAGCTTCTGGCAATAAGAACTAAAGCAATTAATTATGAAATGATTTTCTTTATATGCATTTAACTAAGAATATTAGGATCCAGACATTGGACAGTTGTCTTCTTGAACTTGTAGTTTAAGAATAAATTATTTCTCTTTGATTTGATGTGTTAATTATAATACAAATATTAAAATACACAAATATTTATTGCATATTAAATATACATCAGATAAAAATGTTTTTAGAGTATCTGTTTTCAGTTTAGAAATCATTCTGACAAAGTGCTAATACCACTGAAATAGTAATTACATGTATTAGCTTGGCCTAGACTAAAACTTAATTCAAATTGCAGTTGTTAAAATTATTCTAACAAATAGGTATGTAAACCTCTACTAGGCCTATAGGGGAGGGTGGGTTGAATATAGGATTCATAGAGAACTGAAGTCCCAGTAGTCACACAAGCTGGTGAGGGGGATATGTCAGCAATGACCTGTAGTTCAAGCAGAATGAACTATGTTGAACTTCGAGTTGGAAATGTAGAGAGGAACAGTTTGCTGGGAATTGGGAAATGCTTCTTCAAGGAAGAGGCCTTTGAGCTTGCTCTTGACCACTGAACTTGATTTTATTAGTTGGAGAATGAATAAATAGGCAATTGCTAAGTAAATAGCAAGAAAGCTCATTTTAAAAATTGTGAGGTACACTATAAAGGAATATGTTCTGTGGCTATGTATTATTGTATCATTAGCCCTTTACTAACTACTTAGTAATTTTACCATTTCTTCTCTAGTTGGAGTCATGGAGCTGTCCTCTGTGTCTGTCATTCCCTGCCTGGTAGGTTCCCGGGGAAGTATATTTCCTACTTTAGGCTACCAAGGAGCCAATTAGTGAATGCCCTGCAGGGGCTCTGCATTAAGTATAATGACCTCTTTGTTATGCATCTTGGTGTGGGAATGGGGTGTTCAGGTTAATCACATATTTTGTTTACTTGAGGCTACAGTATATTTGCTTTATATAGTTTTTTTTCATTTTCAAAGAAATTAAGTGCCCGAAATAAGTTGGAAATCATACTGAACATAATTTAATATTTCATTCAGTAAATATATTTGATGCATTCTTCTTCCACCCAAGAATTTTATAGTGTGACATGAAAAAATAAAAATACAGTAATAGTATATTCTGAAGGGATTATAGGATAGGTATTAAGAGTTCAGTGTTAGGACTCAGGTCTGGATTTGAGGCTGCTGAATAGGTGTTTGACCATACTTAAACTTTCTAAGCCTCTTTTTTTCAACTGTAAAATGGAATAACAACCTTGGTGTTGTGGAAGAGATTAAATAATGTAATATGCATAAAGTGTTGAGGCTAGTATTTGCCACATAGTCTAGCAGTGGTAGCTTTCACTATGATCTTACAATGCAGCATCTACAGAATATATAACAATTGCTTTAAATAAGTTAAATGAAATCAGTTGCAAGTAATATATTCTCAACTTAAAGAAAAATCTTAAATAAAAGTAGAATTTAGGAGCTCATGCTTTCACTGGTCTATAAAGGACATATATATCGACAGAAAGCAGTGAAACATGATAGTTTTTCTAGTTTCTTTCAAGATGTATGTTCAGTAATAATCTTTGATGAAATAAACTAAACCACGTTGAAATTTAAAAGTATTCCCTGTATTAAATAGGAAATTAATTTTATTACTTTACAAGGCAAAGGCATTATAACCAATATTGCTGTTAAATTCTGTGTTCAGAAATTCTTGCATAGCACCGAAAAGGACATTGCAGGGTAGATATCTAAGCTTTGGCTTCACTTTAAAGCACAATGAATATTTCCTAAACTCATATCGTTGAGCTCAGATAAATTGTTGAAGAAGGCAGTTCAAACTATCATACTAAGCAGGATAAATGCTGTTTATGGAAAACTCAGAACATTTCAAAGCCCTTTTGGGAAGAGGGCCCCTGCCTCAGGAAGTTCACACAGGCACCAGTGTATCTCTTCTGACCAAGACTTGGAGGTTGCCTCCTTCATTTCTTTGTCAGTGAAAGTACCCTCTTCTTCTTTGTTTTTCACCAAGAGTATAAGATTCTACTTGAGTGGCCTGACTCAACAAGGTTCTTTATATGCCTGAAATAATGTTAATTGTATTTGCAATATTCTATCATTCTGGTTTAAAAAATACTCTTCACTTAACAGAAAAAAATATATAACCAAAACTTAAATGTAAGAAATTTTTGGAATATCGTCCATTTATTTTATGGACTATCTCTTGTCCTTACAGAGATAGGTAGGGTCTTAATAAAAAAATAAAAAATGAGTGATGTGATGAAAGTAAAATTTTAGGAAAACCCAGAGAACAGTGACATTGCTATTATATATGCGATAATGGACCTGAATAGGAAGAGACACACCTGAAGTCAAACCAGAAAGACTACATTTCTAAGTGCAATTTTAGATTCAGAACAAAATTTTTGCAATAAAAAGTGATTTTAATTATATAGCTTATAGGAAAAAGACAATGGGGAAATTATTATGGCATCAGAAATTTGCAGATATTACAAGGTACATTCTTTAAATCGGTGTGTACCTGTGTTTTAAATATTCTTGAGTAGTTTTTTCTTTTTTTGTAAAGAACCATTCAGAAAGAGCTGGCTGAAAGATACAGTATAATGTACAGTTTCCCATAGAATTATATAACCATCTAATGGGGTGGCTGGAGAGTGTATTTTTATACAAAATAATAATCTTTTCCTGCAAAGTTTATAATTTCATGGCCCTGCAAAACCAGCTCTTCATCGCCAAGAATGTTTTAAGGGTAGGCTTCTCAGCTTAGGGTGTGGAGTGGCCAGAAGTCTCCCAGTTGCCCCATCAGCTCTGCTTTCAAGGAGAAGCAGTCTGGGGTTTGTGTCGCCCAGTGGAGGGGCCCTGAGAAATCAGGCTGTCGTGGTGTCTCCCTTGGAGGAGCCACAGAAATGACTGTGCTTTCCGGCCAGGAGCCTTATTGTAGGCTGTTCTTCAACACCTGAGGCCTTCCTGATGACCAGAGGGCACCATGGCTTCATCTCCGGAACTTGGCTTTGTCCCAGGAACAGAGCCAACTTGGGTTACTCTTGGCTGAGGGGCATTGTGGGCTCTCTGGACTTTTTCTCCTAGTCCAGAGGGACCCAGGGCTAACTTGCCTCACCCCACCTCCTGGAAGAGTTCCTTTAACAGGTTGTCCTCGGCCTCTCCTCACAGAAAAAGGCTGATCAAGAGACAGACATGCTGTCTTGATGACAGAGACAGATGGAGCCTTTGCAGGGCCTGTCCCTGAATAGGGGCCTGGTGCCTGTTCTCATCACTCCTTCCAGAGTCACTGTTTACTTCTGAAATAAACAGCACTAGAGCCCCATCTCCCCCACCCCAAATAGGTGCTAGTGGGTGTATGGCAGGCAGTGGACCAGGTCTACTCAGAGCAACACATGAATACAGCACCACTTCCCAGAGTGACAATTTAACTGAAGATTGAGGGAGAAAAGATTCTTTTTAAAGAAGAAATAAGATTATGGTATAGAGTAAAATACAAAACTCTGCCTGAATTTTTAAGTTAAATTTGAGATGTCAGGGAAATTTTAGACTTGTTGCTGGATTTGTTCTCATGTTCTAGAGTCAGCTTAAGAAGCGTAGTTTAAAAGAAATGGAGAACTTTTGGAATCCATAGGGCTTATGCTTGGAAATTTGTGAATTTTTTTACTGTATTTAATAATTTATTTTCATCATCAGGAGAAATAGTAAGTTAAGCTTGATTGAATACAACATTCTTGATGAAACATGCCTTAATTTCATAGATGTCTTTAAGTCCTTAGGTTTTAGACTTCAACAACATTATTTATACTGCTTATGACAGAAAAGCAGCTGGTCTGAATTTTCTGTCCATGATCTTTGGTGTCACTGACCACAGTTTTTAATTGTCTTGCCTATGAGATCTCATAAAAGATATCCTGTGAGAATATTAATAAGTAAATTACTGTTAATCCCCATAGACATTTATGTATTAGGTTCTATTTGCCATCCAGGTATTAGTGTTGCATGCCCAGTCCCAGGAGAGATACAATATTTTAATCTATGATACCATTAATTTGATTTGGTACTCACTTTTTTCCTAAAAGGAAAAAAAAACAATGTTGAGTTGTGCCTTGCCTCTTAAACCCTCTGTGCATGTGTAATAAACATAACTATAATGTGCTAAAGGTTGTGTTTACTAGTAGAATCTCTCTTTGGACACACTAATTTTTTAGGACTTTTTACTTATGAAGAAGATGATTAAAGAACATTTCTTTAAACTCCTTTAACATTGACCCTCTATGGAATAACTTTTCAGGATTGACAGAAAATCTCCAATTAATCTGTATCACGGTCAAATACTTAAACTGGTATATAGATTTGGTTGGCAATTCAACTTGCTAGTTATATTGATTTTATTGGAAGTCACCAATTTGAAATTTATTTTAATTCATATTGGCAATTGTAAGTATCAGAATAATTCTATCTTAAAAAGAACTGAAAAACATTTCATTAATGTACTGTCAGGTCTAGATAAAAGTAATCATTATTCAGAAAAATGATTTCCTTTCTCTTTTGAGGACTTGATATCTTGTTGAAACTTGTATTACCCTATTCATTGATTTACCCAGTCAAATATTAGCTCAGTTGTTACAAATTTTTATTAAGCACTGGATATAATTTATTCAACATGCATTTGTTAAGCATCTGCCATGCCCTAGCATCTACTGTGCTGGATGCTAGGACTGAAAAGATTAATGACATACCATTTCTTCCTGCAACTTACACTTCAGCATGTAGTAGAAACAGGTGGGGGATCCAAGGATTAAGCTAGATACACAAAAGGCAAACTTTAAGAAAAAAATCTACTTTTTGGAACTGTTTTAGGCAACAGCAAAATTGAGTGGAAGATACAGAGATTTCCCATATACCTTCTACCCCCGCACAAACATAGCCTCTCCCATTATCAACATCCTCCACTAATATGGTACATTTGTTATAATTGACAGACCTACATTGATACATCATAATTATACCAAGTCCATAGTTTACATTAGGGTTCACTCTTAGTGTTGAATATTCTGTGGGTTTTGACAGATGTATGACTTTTGACAAATCACACATGCTCACCTTTATAGTATACAGTGTATTTTCACTGTCCTAAAAATCCTCTGTGATCCACCTATTGATCATTTTCTCTCTCCCAACACTTGGAAACCACTAATCTTTTTACTGTCTCTATAGTTTCTGCCTTTTCCAGAATGTCATGTAGTTGGAATCATACTATATGTAGCCTTTTTAGACTGGCTCCTTTCACTTAGTAATGTGCATTTAAGCTCTCTTCATGTCTTTTCATAGCTTGATAGCTCATTTCTTTTCAGTGCTGAATAATAGCATCTGGGTGTACCATAGTTTATCCATTCATCTAATGAAGGACATCTTGGTTGTTCCCAAGTTTTGAAAGTTATGAGTAAAACTTCTGTAAACATTTGTGTGAAGGGTTTTGTGTGGATGTAATTTTCAGCTCCTTCATGTAGATACCGTGCAATGCAATTGCTAGATCATATGGTAAGAATATGTTTAGTTTTGTTAGAAACTGCCAGACTGTCTTCCAAAGTGCTGTACCATTTTACATTCCCACCAGGAATGACAGATTACTGATAACCACAACTTTGCTAGCATTTGGTGGTGTCAGTGTCCTAGATTGAGGTCATTCTGATAGGTGTGTAGTATTTTTTCATTGTTTTAATTTGCATTTCTCCAATGTCGTGTGTGGAGCATCTTTTC